CGCTCCCACTGCCTAACGTTGCTTTCTGAACCTACACGAAAACTAGCTCTCTTCCAGCCGTCAAGGCTCACAAACGGCGCCCTCGCCACAGCAAAACAGCAGGGCCCTGAAGGACGGACCGAGCCTCCGGGCAACGGCTCCCAAACTAGCTCTCTTCCAGCCGTCAAGGCTCACAAACGGCGCCTCCGCCACGCCCAAACAGCAGGGCCCTGAAGGAAGGACCGAGCCTCTCTCCGGTCAACGGCTGCCCACTGCCTAACGTTGCTTTCCTGAACCTACAAGAAAAACTACTCGCTTCCATCCGTCGAAGTCTCACAACGGCGCCCTCGCCCCAGCAAAACAGCAGGGCCCTGAAGGACGGACCGAGCCTCCGGGCAACGGCCCCCAAACTAGCTCTCTTCCAGCCGTCAAGGCTCACAAACGGCGCCTCCGCCACAGCAAAACAGCAGGGCCCTGAAGGACGGACCGAGCCTCCGGGCAACGGCTCCCAGTGCCTAACGTTGCTTTCTGAACCTACAAGAAAACTAGCTCTCTTCCAGCCGTCAAGGCTCACAAACGGCGCCCTCGCCACAGCAAAACAGCAGGGCCCTGAAGGACGGACCGAGCCTCCGGGCAACGGCTCCCACACTAGCTCTCTTCCAGCCGTCAAGGCTCACAAACGGCGCCCTCGCCACAGCAAAACAGCAGGGCCCTGAAGGACGGACCGAGCCTCCGGGCAACGGCTCCACTGCCTAACGTTGCTTTCTGAACCTACAAGAAAACTAGCTCTCTTCCAGCCGTCAAGGCTCACAAACGGCGCCCTCGCCACAGCAAAACAGCAGGGCCCTGAAGGACGGACCGAGCCTCCGGGCAACGGCTCCCACACTAGCTCTCTTCCAGCCGTCAAGGCTCACAAACGGCGCCCTCGCCACAGCAAAACAGCAGGGCCCTGAAGGACGGACCGAGCCTCCGGGCAACGGCTCCCACTGCCTAACTGTTGCTTTTCCGAACCCTACCCCTACTACTACCAATAAAACTATCTCTCTTCCATCCAATCCGTCAAGGCTTCACAAACTCGCTTCGCCACAGCAAAACAGCGGGCCCTGTAAGGCCGGACCGAGCCTCCGGCAACGGCTCCCAAACTAGCTCTCTTCCACTCTTCCAGCCGCAAGGCACACACACGGCGCCTGCCAGCCGCCCAAAACGCAGTGTCCTGCAAGACGTACCGAGCCTGCCGGCAACGGCTCCCGACTGCCTAACGTTGCTTTCTGAACCTACAAAGAAACTACTCTCTTCCAGCCGTCAAGGCTCACAAACGGCGCCCGCCACAGCAAACATCAGGGGCCCTGAAGGACGGACCCGAGCCTCCTGGCACGGCTTCCCAAACTAGCTCTCTTCCAGCTGTCAAGGCTCACAAACGGCGCCCTCGCCACAGCAAAACAGCAGGGCCCTGAAGGACGGACCGAGCCTCCGGGCAACGGCTCCCACTGCCTAACGTTGCTTTCTGAACCTACAAGAAAACAAGCTCTCTTCCAGCCGTCAAACCTTCAAAAACGCGCCCTTTCCGGCCGTCACAAACATTCAAAAACGGCCGTGAGTGCCTAACGTTACTTTCTGAACTGCCTAGAAACTAGCTTCAAACCTTGCTGTTTCCTGCCGTCAGCTCGAGTCCAAGGACCCTGTCGCGGGCCTCAAACACCATGGCAGTGAAGGACGGATCGGGCCTGCGGGCCACGGCCGTGAGTGCCTAACGTTGCTTTCTGAACCTACAAGAAAACCTTGCTGTCTGACCCAAAACGGCGCCTGCGCCACAGCCAAACAGCAGGGCCCTGAGGGACGGACCAGGTCTGCCGGTTCAAACCTTGCTGTTTCCTGGCGTCAGCTCGGGTCCAAGGACCCTGTCGCAGGCCTCAAACACCATGGCAGTGAAGGACGGATCGGGCCCGCGGCCGGCAGCCCATACTGCCAAACGTTGCTTTCTGCAGTGCCTAGAAACTAGCTTCAAACTTTGCTTTTCCCTGCGTTCCTGCACTGCCAACTGCCAACTTGCCTGCATTGTCTGACAGCTGGCTTTCGTGCGGCACAGCTCCGGTCAAGTCGAAACTAGCTTCAAACCTTGCTTTTCCCTGCCACTTTGCCTGCGTCGTCTTGCAGCTCAAACCTAGCTTTTCCCTGCGTTCCTGCACTGCCAACTGCCAACTTGCCTGCATTGTCTGACAGCTGGCTTTCGTGCGGCACAGCTCCGGTCAAGGGACCTCCTCGCAGGGCTAAAACACCATGGCAGTGAAGGACGGATTGGGCCCGCGGCCCGTAGCCCAGAGTGCCAAACATTACTTTCTGTCGCTCGTTTACTCTTGCTTCTGCATTCTTGCTTCTAACTTCTTGTTTCGTGCTTCTTTCGCTTGCTACGTTCGCTGAGACTGCCCCTCCTTTCTCGCTTCCTTTTTTGAGCTTCTTACTCTGCCCCTGGCTTCCCTTTCTGTCCCCCCCTCGCTTGCCCCGCTACGTTCGCTGAGACTGCCCCTCCTTTCTCGCTTCCTTTTTTGGGCTTCTTACTCTGCACCTGGCTTCCCTTTCTGTCCCCCCCTCGCTTGCCCCTCACTTGCACTGCACAACACTTGTTGCTTGCAATCTCTTCTCTGACGCGCTCCCCCTGCTGTCGGCAGGGGTCGGCGGATATATATATGTTGTATACCATAAATGTTTTAAGTTACCTAAGTTTCGAGAGATTAAGATTGTAAAGCGTCAATGGTTATTGTAACGATCCCATCCTCCGTTCATATTAAACAACGCACCTGAAACCATGGTTGAATAAGGGGCTTACATGAATTTACACAAATTTGGATACAATGGGGTGTTTAGTTTCGGGGGAATGGACAATCTATAATTTGCGGGAATGCAGTCTAGGGTAACTGAGTTGCCACAATTGATTTCTTAACCGGATTTACATGGAAAACGCAGGTGGAAAATCAGGTATGATTTGTGGTGATACAAACGTAGGATACCATGATACACCTCTCTTTTCCTGCCTTTCCCAGCCACGTCAAATGCGGTGAAACGATTGGGAGGCAGCGGAACTTTGGAAGCGTTCGGCAGCGCTGGTAGGGCTCTGATGCGAATCGATTTCGGGGAGGAAAAGAGGCCGCGGCAGGTGTCGTTATTTTGATATGGGAAAATCAATGAAAATCATCTACAAACCGGTGAAAGATATTGGTGATACTGACCAACTTGATACATCTGTGTCTGAAAATGGGGCATATCCTGTAGGAATCTATGGGAACATGATGAAACAGTGGATTTGGAGCATATTTTCAGACGTTTCCAAGGACACCTCCAGTCTGTGACTGCCCTGGCCCTACCACGTTGCCTGCGGGCTATGACCGCTCAGTGTTCGGAGCTGAGTTGGTTTGAGATATTCTTGACTTGCTGTGATGATTTCATAGATATTGAAATAGATTGTGATTGTGAGATATGTCATAAATCTAAACTTCTATATATCATATCTTGGGAATTGTTTATATATATATATATATTCAGATTGGATATCTTATGGTGATTGATATTCAGATTGCATTGCATCCCTGTGAGGTCCAACAGTTTGACCAGCTACTCCTGCCGGATTTGCCCAGCTACGTGCCCGGCGTGCTCAATCCTATCCAAACTGGATTTTAAATGGACAAGTTGATGTGGAGCTGGTATCATTCATATTGGATATGGTTGTGGGAATTTGTACCATTCGTGCACCATGGTGCAAAATCCATATCTCTACATACGTCATCGAGAATTTGGGGTATGCCCTATTGTAAGGTAAACTTAGAAAATAGAATTAAGTACCATAAATTGGTCGGTACCCATTTTTTCCACATACGGGCTAACCCCAAGTTCAATGTGGCGCGATTTTCCGGTCCAAATTGGCGAACATCCCCACTTGCAAATTAACATGGATATAACTTATTGGAAAAAACTCCATGCACAAATCATTTTCCTTGGGAAACCCTTAGATTTCCACATTTATGTTAGTTGACCACAGGCTTCCCCTTAGTTTCCAGCCCCAGCTGTCCACCTTTTTAGGTCTCAGTGGTTACGTGGGTGAACCCGTGGTAAACTGCTCCATCATGGGCGAGAGCTGTTTCACTGAAGCCCAGTTCGGGGGGTTCGGCTGCCCAGCGATGGGGTGTTGCCAGCACAAAATCGACATGGATCAGAAACATCTGGATTTTGGATATTTTGGTGGAAAGGCCATGGTTGGTTTCCGTTGGTTTCCATGTTGAAAGCCAATTAATTCAGTTGATTCAGCCACGAAGCTGACAATCGCCTGAATCTGAGGTGTATCCCGACGATCGCCTGTGAAATTCCATCCTTGGACCCATGCAGAGTGGACTTCAGTGCCTGTGGGAGTGAGGTGGACTGCAGGGCGGCCAAAAATCCGGTTTCAAAATGGTGGGATATCCCAAGTTCTGGCGATTTCACTTGGGAAAAATGCTGAGGATCTATTGGAATAGGGTGCCCAAAAATGAAGATCAAGCCATTTTGGCATTGTTGTTCATTGAATATTCATGAATGTTGAATGGAATGATGTGGAATTCAAACAGGCTCAAGAGATCCTATGAATTCAACCATTCAAATCATTCAACATCTAATAGTTTATAAATTCTGTTTGGTTTGTTGAGAAAGGATCTTATAGTTGTAGAGTCATTCAGGCGTTTTAACCAAGTCGTATCCCACAATTGGCCGCATGTGTTGGTTCAGTCGCATCTTGTTGGTGGTTCACATATTCAACCCTATCTGGGACATTCTGGGACAACTTTTCCAACTGGTTTCCATCTTGTTTGGATTCTGCAACTACTAGTTACTAGCCGCTTGCAGAATTGGTTGAAGGGAAAGTTCACAGGAAATGCTGTAATTTATTCGATACAGAACATGATCGCGAACATGATTTCCTGTAAAATTTCCCACCAACCCAGCGAAGCTATGTCAGCTATGTGGCTTCCCGCAAGTCGTTTTTTGGTCTCAAGCGCAACATGACAAGCGCCGTGCCGAACATGGCAGAGATGAAGATGTATGCGAATCCTTCCATGGATTTTACGGAGCGGTTGGAGGCTCAACGGGAGATGTTCATGGTGGATCCCATGAAAAACCAGGGCTTTACCGGATACTCCATGAAACACCACCTCACCAAAAGAGTATGGATATCCCATGAGTCGCAATAGTGGGAAATAGATAGAAATAGATAAAAATCACTTTGACATCTCAAATTGCAGAAGCATTTGGGGATCAACAAATTGGGGCTTTGTATTGTCATTTGTCCCAATGTTCAGTGGAAGATGGGGATATTTTGTTTCACAACTATTGGGGTGAACCCAAGAACATGTTCAGGAACCACACCCCATTCACGCAATTCTGCCGTGTACGATTTTGATTTTTAATATATTGGGATTGAACTTATCCTTCTTAGATATGATAGATCCTACAGATTGTATTAACCTATAAGATACCCATATAAGAATTTACTTTATTCCTCGCGCCAGCAGGGAGATGTGAAGAACGAGATTATGGAAGAACTGAGGGAGGCGAAGGCGGCTGATGGGCTGCTGTTTTTTGGCATCATGCTTTCATGGTTTGGGAATTTCAGGATATTTCAGGTACATAAATATGGACCATATGGATGTCAGTGGATATCTCCCTGTCAACATCATGTATGATGTTTATTGATGTTTGCTGTTAGTCAGAGGATTTTTTCCACTCTTGGCTTTGCGAGGGACAAAAGGTGGCTTAGGCCACCTTCCAGTAAGCCACCATCACAACTCGCATTCCTCGACAATACTGACCCTTATAGAAGCTATTAGTCATCTACAATAGATTCATCATCTATTACCAAGTGATATCCAAGTGATATGAATTATAACCATCTACCACTCAATAGTCTTAACCATTTAACATCAACCACTGGATTTTAGATATTAGCTGTTATTTACAACAAGTCAGTTCTTCAACCATTTATTCTCAACCATAACGATTAGTAAACATATTTGCCCTCTATTACCAAGATTAATCATTGACATTTATGGATTTTTGTAGATCATCTATTCAGGAGATGTTCGATAAATTATAGAAAATTCAACATCATTATTCACACATAATGATATATAATAGATGATTATTCACCATCATTAACACCATCATTAACCACATTAATTATAGAAAATTACCCATTAATAATCTATAATGATAGTGATATTACATCTATAATTATTCACCATCATTATTACCCAGTGATATTCACACAAGTCCCAGCCATGCAGCCAGGCAGCCGGCGCCTCCCCCGAGGCGAAGTCGACCATGAGCCGAATTTCCACCGAGGTGGGGAGCGAATCACCCATGATCCATGACATATTATATGTACATCTATTTATAACATAATATAATAATATATATATATTATAGGGGGGCTATGGGTACGTTAGGAGGGCTATATGACTATTATGATATGACTATCGTATGGATTATGTTGGATTTTATATATTTTTAGATTGGGATATGGGATGATGCCTTGGAGTCGCTGAGGCGTCCGTGGACGACGCCGCGGTGGCGCCCGTCCAGTACGAGGCGCAAAACTTGGAGGTGCCCGTGGTCATCGTCACCTCGGAGGCCGCGGACTTGGGAAACAATCTGGGATCAAAACCAAGCATTTATCAAGATATATTGATATAATATATGGGATAAACCAATGATATATGATGTTACATATGATATATGTCATTTATCAATATAATATTGGTTAATGATATATGTTATTTGGTACAATATATGATAAACCAAATAGATATATACATATATATATATATAAGGTTTCGGCTTAGTGCCCCAATTGTGCCCTGGGGTTAGCTTTCCGTTTTGTAGCGGTGCCGATTTCCTGAGTGGGTCATTTTCTTTGACGTGACCCACGGGCTTTTCCGGGACTTGCAACGTGGTTGAACTGGTACGCCCTCTGCCGCTTTGCTCTACGGAACGTGCTCTGCATTCCCGCGGGGGGTCTGCATCACCTGGGTGCCTTGGTTCTACAACTGCCTGGACAAGACTTTGTCTACTTCCTCCAGTTTGTATACCCTGGGCAATCAGTATCTTTCCCTGCATTTCCGGGTTCTGCGGTGGCCCTTTTACACCGTTGTTGATTTTGTATTTTAAATTTGGACTGTTGGGCTCTTGGTGTGGGTGCCATTCCATCATTTGCCTTTCCCTTGTGTATGATCGGGTGGTTTGCCTGCATTCTTTGCTTTGGCCATTATCACTCCTACCAAGCGGCGAGCTTTGAGAAGGAAAAGGGCGCGTGCAAGACTCAATTGGTTCCTTTTCAGGAAAGGCCATTTATCCCTTTCCAATCACTCCCTGTGTTCCATCCGGACTTGTTTGAGTTCTCATCACAGTCGAGATCCGAGATTTCTAGCTGCAATTTCCAGAGCAATGTCAACTGGTGCGAAGATTTCACCTTGGCGATGCCGATTTTGCAAGCGTCACAACAAAGGCACGGCCGCCTTTTGTGGGCAATGTGGACGACATTGGGAGCGATGTCAAGATACGGAGTTTGTCTATTACCAATCATGGGAGAAAGATGGTCAGCGGCAGCGTTCAGTCTCTCAGAAGCAGTGGCCTGCGACGCCCAGACAGCGTTCGCACACACCACAGTCCAGACATGGCGATGCTCAGCCCAAATCTACCAGACGGAAGAAAGCCAAGGCGAAGGCAAAGTCTCAAGCCGCGCCTCAGGCAGATCCAGCCTGGAATCGACGTACTCCACAGACTGGTACCAGCTCTTCGCAGAATGCGACCAGCGGAGCAGCTCAGACTGCTGTGGATCCCAAAATGAAGACTCTGTTAGCGGCTTTGAAGAAGAACGAGAGTACTCTTCCAACCGATGTGCAGAGCTTACTACAGGATGTCTCCACAGCAAATGCGCAAGCAGATACCAAGACCATGCATGCAGCAGTGGCCAAACATGGACAAGCTCGCAAGAAGTTGCAAGAATTGAAAGCTTCAAGGGCCCAATTACATCGATCCTGGTCTTCTTATGTGGCAGAGGCAGTGGATCGTTGGAAGAAGAATCTGGAGAATTTCACTGCAGAGGATGCAGATTTGGAAACTCAGATTTCAGAAGCCTGGGAGAATGTCCAGACGGCCAAGGAGCACATGGAGACTATCAAGACAGCCATGGAAGAGACGGAATCTGGTGGTATCGACCTCACCAACGAATCCGACGAGGAGAACATGGCAGAGAAAACAGAGCCTGCTGCCACCATCAAAGAAGGTATGCAATCTATGGCGATGAACTTAGAAGCATTGAGCAAGAAGGCGGAAGAGATGGTGCAAGAATCAGCTCCCAAGAGACCTCGCACAGCAGATCCTGGGGAGCATTTTGCCCAGCCCGGCAAGTAGACTCTTTGCGAGAGGCTTGTCGAGGGCTTGCAGCTCTACGACCTAGCTCGGTTGCTAAATGGACTCATTCTGCAACATATAAGCCAACCTTTGTCAGTGTGTGGAAGGCAGTGTGGAGAGCCTTTGAACTCTCACATCAGCTGGGTGCTCCCTTGGGTACAGGAGTAACCAACGCAACTGAAGAGGTGGGGGCAGGTGTGCAGTTTTCCCAGCGGCATTTTGCTGCAAATTCAGTTCCAAAAAGAGTGCATTTTGCCAATGAAGTTGAATTGCTCCTTGGTGACGAGGATGCCCTTGGTATGCTACGACTATGTATGCCTTCTCAAACTTTACAAAATTGGCCAGAGAAACCTTGGACAATCAAAAGCGAATCGGGACTGCCTGATGAACCGCTGTCAGAAGTGGCCGTGTCGATCTCGGCAGTTCCAGAGATTTCACAAACCAATGATCCCTTTTCGCATGACCATTTGCAAGACCTGCTGCTTCCTCAATTTGAAGCCCCAGTGCCTGAATGGAATGGTGAGGAGGATGATGGATATTCACCTTCTGAATATGATCCCAATGTTCATGAGCGCCATACGTCAGATGATGAAGTTTCCACAGAGTCAGATGAGCCTGAAGAGCCTGATCCAGGGCCTGTCGAAAGGCACCACCCAGCTCAAGTAGAAGATTTGCAGCATGTCATGGTGTACAGACTGCAGCATGTACCGCAACATCTCCTTGTTGATTGGGGTAGTTATGAAAGGTTGGTACTTCACCTGGCGGAACTTGTGCACTTGAACCGACATGATGTCGTTGCTGTCCACAGTTTGGTAGTTGTGCCTATAGGACAACCTATCCATAGTGAGGGTGTTATCTTGCAGCATGTAGATGACATACCTTTGGGACAACCGGATCAGTTAATCCTAGTTGACATCAAGACATTTGCCTCAGCTTGGGAGGTTGGTTCTGAGCGACCACCTACGGTTGACAGACAAGTTTGTCGTGCGCAACCAATTTTAGCTCGTACTCAATTCCTGGAGTTGGTTAGGGTTGGAAGGTATTGCCAAGCAGAGAGAGACAGATGCCTTGTCTTTCACAATGGAGAGCCATGGTCCCTGCAAGAGGCCCAGCCTCGTAGGTTTGCCCATGGAGACTATGTTGAAGTTCTCTTGCCTCCTCCTGAAAAACTGAGAGAACCTACGTCTGTTGCGGTTTGGCTTCGTGAACAACAACTGTCTCCTGCGGATATCCGCAGATTCAGAAATGCAGCTGTAGGTGGAAACCCTAAACGGCCGAGGCTCCATCATTCCTCTGAGGAGCAGACTCAACAGCCCCCTGAGCTTGAGCGGGCTGTTGTTGCTGAACCAGTAGATTTCCCAGTTCGTTTGCTTGAGATTGCGAGACATGATGAGCTTTTGCATGCCTTGCATACTGCCTGGGAACAAGATGCTAGAACTGATCCAGCAAATGATGAAGCCTTCTTGCATGTGCAGACCTGGTATGTTGATCAAATTGGGCGACCTAGGTGTTATGACTCCAGAAGGGTTAGGTTAGGACGTGATCCGAGCACTTGGATTCGTAGGATTGTCGAAGCTTGGAGTGACACAGTTGATGTTGCAGTCACATTGCATCTGCATCCGATTTTTCCACAACCTGATGTCACCGGCGGTAGACCTCTGCGAGATTTCCATCTTTTGCTTTTGCAACGACCCATCCCAGGAGTGAGCTCTATTATGATCACGAGACTTGATTCTGCAGAGCCAAGTGTAGGAGTTGTCCCCTTTGTGACTTCCTCACATGAAATTGTGACAAAAGAAAGCCTCATCCGTTCCGGTGGGATTGAGGACTTGTGTTTCCCTCAGCGCTCTGATTTGCAGTGTATGGTTTGGTTTGGAGATACTGAGATTCGAGAACCCATGAATGTGCTTGCGAGACATGGTTTCAATTTCTTTATTATCCTCAACCATATCTTTCGTTCTCCGGTGCCTGATGTATGGGATACTGATGAGACTGGTTTGTTGCAGAAATCCCTGACCAAAGCAGTCCAATTGATTGCTGGAAATGATTTTGAAGTGGCATTGCCTAGCTTTGTTGAAGTTCCGATTTGTGCTGAGAATGAGGAAGTGCAAGCAGAACTGCAATGCTGGGGGCATGAGTGTCGCATTTTTCTCCTTCGATTTCATGACATTGCGTATTGTTTTGACAGAGGGTGGTTAGAAGCCAATGAGGCCTTCCATGTCCTTCTTGAGCATGAGGATGTTCATGATTCTTGTGGAGTCTTTGGGCACACCATGAATGTGCCACCGGATGAGCTTTCGCTCATGTGCCTGCTATATCAGTTGGGCTATGAAAAAGCAGTAGTTACGTCATGTTCTTCTGTTTTTCCCACTGTTTGGCACGTGACCTTTTGTGAATCACATGGCAATTTGGTGACACGCCCTGAACGGGTCAGACCCAGCAAGCCTTGGCCACCAGTACAGCCGCAAGTACCTGAGTTGCCGGTTTTCCAATTTGCAGATGAACGGACGCCGCAATGTCTCTTGAATCTAGGTGTGACTCTGGCTGATCTTCGCCAGTTTTTTGCCTCATCAAGGGATGTCCTTTTCCCAACTTTGGAGGGGGTTGAGATACCTGAAGTCTCAAAACCTGCAGTTGAACAGCTCACGACTCTGCAGCGGGTAGATAGGTTAGTGATTTATGTTGATGGTACGTCGCAGCCATCCCAGAAACACAAGCCTCCGTTGTGGGTCGACAGCCTGGGAACACCTGATGCGTGGGCTTTCTTAGTTCTCGGGGAACAGTATGATGCTCCTGAAGGCCAGAATCTGTGTCTGTTGGGTTGGCAAGCCCAACAAGTGCGATATGAACAGGACACCGCTGCTTTTGCAGGTGCCACGAGAATTGGTTCCTTAGTAGCAGAAAGAGAGGGACTCATTCATGCTGCCTTGTGGCGCCTTTGCTTGAATAGCAATTTGCCTACGGTTTTTCGAAGCGATTCACAATTGTCATGTGGTCAGGCCACTGGCATGGTAGGCACTGCGGTTGTTGACGATTCATTTGCACTTTTGAGAGGGCTTTTTCAAACTTTGGAAGCATCCATGCCTGTGTCACATCTTTTGGTGGACCATGTTTTTGGTCACAACAGTGAACCTTGGAATGAGTTGGTAGATGCCATAGCCAAGAAGGAGGCGGTGCAAAGCCATTTTTTGCCAAGGCAGCCTGTTGACTTCAGGAAA